ATTATAAATTTATAATATGATTTATCATTATATAATTAATTTTTTTCGTTCAAGTGTTTATCTGTGATATTATATGTATTTACTTATTTAATGATACGTCATGATTATAAATTTATAATTTTATGTAATATAATAACTATAACATTGACCATTAACTATGTGATCTAATAATATAGTTACATGTGTTCTTAACTGTTTAATGTTCAATTCTTAATTTCTATATATCAAATAATAATAACAATAATAATAATAATAATAATAATAATAATAATAATAAGTATAGCATTGCCATACATAATCTTGTTTGGATATTTTCTTTTTAATTTGAATGACAATCCTACCCTTTGGGGGTATACGTGTTAATGTTCTCCCTTCATTTGAAATATAGAAATTTAACTCAATGAGATAGTGAAGTTTGTTATCATGGGTGACGTGTAGGCATTACTAATCTACTATTGATGTGCTTGTCGATAGCTTATAAGAGTAAGCAGGATGCATACACATACAGTGGGGTGTGCTTGTAGGTTTGAGGGAAGAAAATAGAGGGAAAAGGAATGGCTGCTACCATCCCCTCCACCTTCCTCTCTGCTTCTCTACTTCTCCTCTGCCTTCTCTCTGCCTCGAGGAAGGGCTGTGTCGCCTTTGAGCAACAAGAATTAGCAGCTGAGACCCACCACCATACTCTCCTCGTCAGCTCTCTTCTTCCTTCATCTGTCTGCAATTCTTCCAAAGGTTAATTCCCTTCCCTTCTTTACTTCCTCAATTGATTAAGTGCTTTCTATGGTGTTATGGCCATTAGTACAATAATTAGGGATATTTTTTCGCCTGAATAACTAATTAAGCTGTTTATAATTCTATTGCGCTCTTTATATGATTGTTGATAAAGCTAAATATAGCCATAATCCCTGCTTCATGACCGCGGATTGGCCTTTTGGGGATTGTTTCTACAGGCAAAAGGTGAAGCTAAAATCATTACTCATCCACTAAGTGAAAGAAGTATCCATTTTTTGAGAATCTATATATGCCACTCTCCTATCACTTTCAGCCCTAAAAAGACCAACAAACTTAATTCACCTTATGCAATTGTAAACCCATATGTTTCATAACTCTAAACCCCGCTTGATATAATTCAAATTTGTATATGTTTTTAAAGGAAAATGGTATCTTTAGTTATGTTGTGCACCTCTTAATTTGATTAATGATACTTACAGAAAAAAGAAACAGTTTTTTTCTCATGAATGATATTCTTTTTTTCTATAAAAAAAACAGTAAGTGAATAAAGATAGTATTGTGTATCTTAATCATTGAGAAGAAGACTAAGCGGAGTTTGGTACAATATTTCCTTTTTATTCTTAATTAATGTAAAATACACATCCACGGCCTTCTTCTTTTTACAATCTATTCTTCTAGTTACTTTCATGATTCCAACTCAAAAGTAAGAATAAATAATAAGCAGCTTGATTTTTGTTTTAGTAAAACAAAGTACCGAATAAAATTAATAAGACTCCGTTACGTAATTGTTGGATTTCAAATTGAGAAATTCCTATCTCTACCACAAGAAAAAAAAATCATTTTTTGAATAAAAGGAATTGTGCAGATTGGGGAAACTATAAAAATAAAGAAAAACAAAGAAAACATTAAATGGTTCTTTTCATTTTAAGTCAAGCACCTAATATATCCATTTAGAATTATTTAACATGCATTTTAAAGATGAAGTTGTTTATGAATCTTTGAAATCCACTCTCCCTGGCTTAATTAAGCATATTTAAAATGAAAAAAAAAAGAGTATTTTATAATTTAAATTATACTAAATTATATAACACCTATTATTAAATAAGAATTGTGTGTTTTGATATTAAAGGCATTTTTATTTAATAAATTATATTTTACAATTTAAT